ATTTTAAAATGTGTTTTATTTTAGCTAAATATTTTCCTTTATAAAAATGTTTAAAACGAGCTCTGTGTGAGTCTTGAGTCACATACCTGCTTTATCATGGATAGCTGTTTTGTACAGTACAGCATTATGTTTGCAGTCTCTCTCAACTTCTCTCAAGTTCTCACTCCAACCTCAGTAAACCCCACAAACTCCCCCACAGTGCTGTTGAACTGTACGTACAGATATTTATTGATGTAATAGTCAATCAAGAAGACAATGTCACTGAAATCACTGGAGCTGTAGATGCACTGTGACCAATAGTAGTTATAATATCCATTAGCTGGAAAACAATAAAAAAAAACACAAGCACTTGAACACATCAGCCAGTTGTTGTTATTAATAGAATGTACTTTCTAAAACATCATGTTCATATTATTAAAATATCTGTACCTATACTTTACTACATTGGAGGATCCACTAGCAGAGAACCATCCTAACTAACAGCATTTAAAAAGAAAATATTGCTGTTAAATCTTACCAACACTGTTAATACCAAAAACACCAATATATCCACACCACTACTACTACTATTACTACATTTCTCTCACCTACTACTACTATTACGCCCATTTGTCTCGCCTGCGCCGGTGAATACAGACAGCAGAAGAATGTGATGGAGACTCCAGAGCTTTGGCACTGACATGATCACTGTGACCATCACAACTGAGAGCAGACAATACTTCATGATGAAGAGAGGAGGGTCTAAAACAACTGTCCAATCAGCCACTGTTTGCATATGTGTCACGTGTTGCTGAGCAATATCCTGCTTTCATTTTAAAATCACGCTTCAAAAAATGTAAATAATGGTTTGATTAAACATAATGACCTTTTTACTTACATTCCTGGAAAAAAAAACTGCAAGCTTCCAACAACCTCTCCAGTTTTGGAGGACACAAACACTTTTCTTTATTTTTTAAATCCATGATAACACTCTATAATAACTATCATGATTAAATCATTAAAATGCGACCAGGAATGGTCTTAGGGGAACATTTAGTTGTCTGGGAACCACACTGGTAACTAGTTCCTATAACAACCCGGGCTGCGTTCCACTTCCCTTTTAGACATGCACTCGTGATCTTCCCTAAGCACGTACTCTCTGGTGAATCCCCGCTGCCTTTTTGAAGTGTGTTCCACTTCGTGAAGTGAACATGGGAAGTTTATATGGACAGACCCCCACCTCAAACAACTCTGTGATATATGAATTATCTTTTATATATTTAAAACAGCCCAAACAATATCTGTATACATGATGCTGCATCAAACTAATTCATAAGGGAAAAATGGTAATAATAATTCAACTCCTTATCAGATTCCAAATGATCAAGGTGATCAACTGATCAGCCAGTAGTGGACACTTGTGCAACAAAATCAGTGACGTACGTCTGAGTCCAGGAGATAGAGGGAAGTTAGTGAGGGAAGGGCAGATGGAAACGAACTGGAATGCAGCTAACAAGATCATTATAAAGGTGTTTAAATGACAAAATACATTCACTTGCACGTATTTGAGAATCTGAATATCAGATGATATTAATTCAGCTCCAACTCTAATCAAACACACCTGAAGCAGCTAATCAAGCTCTTACTGTGCATACAAGAAACTACAGGCAGGTGTGTTTAGGCGAGCTGGAGCTAAACTCTACAGGACTGCGGCCCTCCAGGACCGAGTTTGGAGACCCCTGACCTGTACAGAGCTGCTGTGGCTGCTGTGTGTCACGTGACAAGCATGACGCGTCGCCATGGAAATAAGATGATACATTATAAAATAATGGTCTCCTTAAGAACTGCTAGAATATTTGAAACTCACATGTGAAAGGGTTAATATGCATTTGAATGCTTACAAATGTCATTAAACTGGTTGTTTAATATGATTTCTAAAATAATGTTTTTAGAAAATGTGTAAATGTAAAAAAGTGCATTAGATGTTATATAAATCAATTTGATCATTTCTAAGCATTCAAATGCACATGAATAAAATAGGCTGCTAATCAGTGTATAACATCTGTTAAAATAATTTGTAGATTTTTATAAAGTGCGTGATCATAGTTGTATGATTAGAAGGTTCAACATTTGTAAGCACTTTAATTTACATCAACCAATGTTCTGTTAATTATTATGTAATGTTCAATAAGTTCATTAGTAAACATTTACAAGCACATTGCCTCACACATGTAGCTCTTTGAATATATATTGACTAATGATCTATTACACAATAACAATGAAAGTTATTATAAAGTGTTACCCATCTGGCAATGTAACATGTCTAAAATTCAGGGGCGTGGCTACAGGTGGACTGGCTTTATATCACTGTAAAAGATCCTTCTGTGTGTCCATTTCTCCTCAGTCCCTCTGTCTCTCCACGCTTTATTTAAAACAGCTTTTTCCAGGGAAAGTTGAATATCCAAAGCAATACACTGACAGACATTTAAATCTTTATTTGGAATGTATGTCACAAAACATACAAAAATTTGATTTTTTTTCCCCCGCTGCTTTATAATTGTAAAAGTTTCTCAAACATGTTTAATTTTTATTGGCATAATTTTAAGTACAAAATAATAAACATTTCAGTTGATAACAAAATCAAATACATTTTGCATGAAAGTAGCAAAAGTGTCATTTTAATTATTAAGTAACTCGATATAAAGTTTGTGATTTCTTTAGATTACTTATGATGAACTGCAAATGTAATATATAAACAAAAAGTCTTCTAGATATAAGCATGATTAGTGCTACATAGCAAGCTAATCCAATTTCAACAAAGGTTAAACCAGATCTTTGCATTTATCAATCTTCAACAGCAGCAATGCTGTCCATCATCTAAAACAACACACAGATGCACTGTTTCTCTGTCTTCAGAATCCTGGAGGAACTGTCTTTATTGATTGGGTCCACTGCATTAAATATTTGATGTTTTTGGCCATATCTGGCGTGTCAGTTGTAGTTGCTTTAATAAGGAAGAAGAGTCCAGTAGCGACTCCCAGCAGCCCCAGAGTTAATCCCACTCCACAGAAGACCGCCGGACCCACGCTGGGCAGGACAGCAGCCGCCTCCGGGACGCCTGGGGATTAGGGTAAGGTGTGTGAACATTAGAACAGCTTTTCATTGTCGAAATCCACTCAGCTCTTGGTATTTCATTTGTCACAGAATGATTACTGTTGTTTTTACACATACATCGTTCATGCAAAAAACAACTGGTGATAACAAAATTGATTGTATTTTGATTTAATTAGTAAACGGCTCTTACTCCATATTTTGGTCTGCGGTTGGCCCTGGAGGGCTCGGTGGTTCACTGTGCAGCTGTAAATGTCTCTCTCTTCAGGAGTGATCTTCAGAGAGGAGAACACATGGAAGGTACCATCGCTCCTCGGTCGGTACTGACTCAGACTCACGCCTTCCGTCACAACGACATTGTTCTTAGTCCATGAGACATTGACAGGTGGAGGAAAGAAGCCTGTCACGTGACAGATGAGCGTGTTTTCAACAGCCAGCTGCACATCGTTCCTTGGATAGATGGACGTCTCAGGGGGTTCTGTGAACACACATAACTGTGTTGAACTCTGCAGTCAGTAGTACATCTGACCTCAACAAATAAAATCTGTACATAGGAAAACTAATATCATACATATTAAATACAATTGCAAGCCAAAACTCGTACTTAACCAATATATTGATAACACTGAATGCATAACATGTAGCAGTTACCAAACAGATTGATGTAAATGCTAAGAAATTTATTACTGTAAAACTTTAAAAAAGCTTAACAGTGCAAATTCATGCCATACCCATTTCCTCTGGTGGACTCTTGTAAGCTTTAATGAGTACAGCCAGGTTTTGTTTGCATACTTCTTGGTCTGCCAGGCTCACTTCATAAAATCCTGGAAAGCTCATAGGATCTGCAAAATCAGGCAATGTAACTACTCCTGTCTTCTGATTAAAGTCAGCATGCCACGCCTCCTCTCCGTCAGATCCAGTCATAGACTCTTTCTCTGTTTCAGAACATCCAGTAATTGAGAAATCTTTGTGTTCTGCTGAAATGAAAGAAACATCAAAAGATAAATTAGAAATACCCAGAGTCCCAGAGAAATAAGCTGCATATCAGACATAACTAATGTGTTTTGGGAACTAACACAAAACCTTTTTTGTCAATTATTTAAAGCACCAGTAGTTTTTAAATGTGAAGGTGTTCTATACAGCTGTTATTAAAAGCCACTATGTTAAATGAACACTTAAAATCAACCATTGGTATCAACTATTCATCAGCTGTTTGACTGAACAAACTTAATATGGTGATCAAAGTAAATCTACAACAGTGTGGACAGTCAACAATGCTGTCAGTACAATATGTGTAATATGTGTAACAGTGTAATATGAAGTATATATGCAGTTGTACTGCTTAATATTTTTTTATATTTTTTTAATATTTTTGTGGAACCAGTGGTATTTTTTTACACTACCATTCAAAAGTTTGGGGTCAGTATGTTTTTTGTTTTATTCTTTTATTTTTTATTAATACTTTTTTATTCAGCAAGAATGTGTTGGATTAATAAAAAGTGATAGAAATCTTTTCTAACAATGTAAGTCTTTTCTATTTTGAGTAAATGCTTTTTAACTTTTTATCCATCAAAAATCCTGAAAAAAGTATCACTGGTTCCATGAAAACATATCGTTTCTAACGTTGATAATAAATCAGCATATTAGAATGATTTCTGAAGGATCATATGGCACTGAAGACTGGAGTAATGATGCTGAAAATTCAGCTTTGATCACAGAAATAAATTGCATTTTAAAATATATTACAATCGATTTTTTTATAAAATAAATGCAGCCTTTATAAGCATAAGAAACTTCTTTATAAAAACATTAAAAATCTTACTGATGCCAAACTTTTATACACTAATTCCTCAAGTAAGCGATATACACTAGTGTACGTCATGAAATCATACATCCTTGTACAGGCTTTTCCTATTAAAAATCAGTGTAAATATTTGAATATGCAAAGTGTGAACTTACGTTGAGCCTCAGCTGAGAGAAAAACAG